CACCTTCTGTAAAAGGCAGGTCCTGACCAAAGCGTATTGCTGTAAGACCAGAGCTTCATATTGCTGAAGCTAGTAGAACACGAGTGTCCATTTGATGCTGTTCATAACATTGTCACAGAATAATTAATGTAAACAACCAAACAGATACAGTAAGTGTCATAATATTGGATTTACCTTTGACTGTTGGATAAAAGTACTTGGCTATACCAAAATGGAATGGGTGCGCTCAAAGCAAGGGCCTCAAGTTACGTCTATTCCCTCTAATTCATATTCGTTTATTTTTTAATAGTCTTAATCATATTCACTTCAATCATATTAAAAATTTCAATACAAAAACTTGCTAGTGCTATTTTATTTTAATAAATAAAATTAATTGTCCGAAACATTGAAAAAACAAAACAACAACAGCATTTCTTCACATGTCATTATGCCACAAGGATATGATTCAACAGCTTCCTGCATAACCTCATCAATATCCATTAATGGTCGCCCGGAGCCCTTTTTTCTTTCCAATGTCGTATCTCCACTATTAAATTTTTCAAACGAACGCCGCGCTGTGCGATGTTCAAGGACACCTTTCTCTTCATATTTAATAATTTCCCGAATAGCTTTAGCGGCTGAGCATTTTTTTTTTCTGGTAATGCCCTAAAATTACAAGAATTTCGTAGAATACTGTCTATGTTTCTTCTTTGAAACAAATAACTTAACTGAGGCTTTTCTTGAAGAAGTCGAATGGGATTGAACAAGCTTAGAGAATGATCTAAAGACATAATTAAGTATTAAATAGGAATAAATTATTTATAGTCCTTTGAAATCTTGAATTTAATAAAACGGTCATTTTTTTTTATACACCCTGTTAAATTATAAATAAATGTTTGTTATTAGTTTAGGAATAGCAGTTGTTCAATACATTTGGTTCTAGTTCTTGGCTCGGTGGTTATCCACTTCGGAACCATCGAACCAGAAAGTCCACATTGTTTGAGTTGACTGGCTTACTGATGGTTCACTAGTTTGGCAACAGCTGGTTCAGTTTGACGAGATATTCGCATCAGAAACACTGTTTCTGATTGCATTTATGATATAGAAAGATTAAAGGATATAATAACCATCGATATATTTAATATATTTATTGTTACGTTTTAAAAACTGAGGGTTGTTTTTAAATATTGTGATGCCACTGGATAATTATAATTATCCACTCTTATTTTTGAGCATAATTATCCAGAAATATTAAATAAAAATCGAAAAAATATATATATTAAAAAATGTAATATACTATTTAGTCCAGGTTTAATTGCACTACCTTTCCAAATATTGGTTTTGTGTTTATCAGTTTTCCGATTGAGTTCATTACCTTTATTAATTTTAGCATACATAGGTGGCAAGAACTTATATTTAATTATAATAAAAAAGTGATAGGACTATAAAAATATGAATATACAAATTAAGATTATAACAATAGTTTGAATATTTATATGATGCACCCGGAATGATTTGAGAATATTTTCACAAACTTCCGATTAATTTATTAGTTTCGAGTTTGTATCCATTTTATTGTAATTTCAGCTACCGGAATAGAAGTTAGAAATTCTAATTTTTGCTACTTAACTTGTTCTTCTTGAAGGCTGAAACAAAAATGACAATGATGAAACAGAAAGTGTAATACCGTAATAGTTTAAGTTCTTCCTCTCATTTGGATTTATGTTTTCGGGCTGTTCTTTTGTGAGGATGTGTCCAAATTAGGCTTTGTTAGTTGTTAGTTAACAGTGTATTAACTCTCACTAGCGAATAATTGCCCCTATCCTGCCTGCGTCGGAATTATAAAATCCTTCCAATCCCAAATCCTTCCTAGCTTGTAAGAAGGATTAATTTTAATTTATTACAGTTAAACAACGAAATCAAGTGAATATGGTGCGAAATATAGTAAAAATAAATCGAAAATAAGTGTAGAAACTGCTATACATTCATTTACAAGAAATCAAGGAATAAATGTACGGTTGGACAAAATCATGAAACAATTATAGAGTTGAACCAAACGTTTTCTGAGCTCGTGAATCTTAACTGGTCATAAATGGCTGGTAATACAATATATTGTAAAATTAAATACATTAAACATTTTTACCTATCATAAAATAAATATTGAAGTTGGTAATTGATTTCAATCTTGTAATAGGGGCTAAGTAAAACATGCGCTTTTGTGTTAGTGATATTTATATTCATGGTGCTGATTGCTATTTGCATACACAATTGCTAGTCATTAGTGGATAGAACTTGTAAAACTTCTTACTTCAAAACTCTCCTTCTATCTCCGGTAAATTGGAGTAACAAGAAAAATAAAAGAGGAAAAGGAAGGTACTACTTTTTAAGCCAGGCGGTTTTATGTTAATAGAATGTACAAACTTTTGTAAATGTAAAGTCAATGACTCGTTTTAAACTTTGAAAAGCTTGTGATAAAATTGAAGATCATTTCGGCTTGATAGTTTAGCTGGCCCGGGGATCTTCTTAGTAAAATTAAGTAAGGTTTAAACGAAGGATTCTTCTTTCCCATCACGTTTAAATTGTCTTGGGGTTCATGAGCCGTGAAATGGGTTTCGCCATCCTTAATCTATATGTAAGCTAGGCTTAAAAAGTGTAGGTCCCTGATGCAAGAGGGGTTTTCCGCTCATCCAGTTTGTCCTCCATGTTGGAATTTTGCTTTAACATGTCTTCCCACTGACAATAAAGTATATCTCATATATTCGAAATTAGTATTGAACTAAATTAAAATGATTAAAATTTGATTTTAGATTTATTTTTATTACTTTTTCCACCAGTGTAAGGACCCTGTTCTTTGTATATATTTGTGTTTGTTATACTTATATATGTAATTGCAATTCAATGAACTGTGTGGGGGGGGGTTTAGAGAAAGATAAAAAAAGGAAAAAAAAAAAAAAAAAAAACCAGCGGGCGCATTTATTGGTTATTAGTTAGTTGTCGAGCCCCGTGTTTATATTTAATACGAATTGCGAATAGGTTAGTGTTTCTGATATTTAAAAAATAAATGTGAAGTTCATTAATAAAAAGAAATATGTAGGTACAGTAACAAACATCTTTGTTATTTCCAAAACTAATGAAATTATTTGTACACAAAAGGATAAAAACATCTTATTAATAATGAATGTTATTAAGTTTATAAAGAATTTTTATAATAGATTAACACATTTTCAAATTATAATTAAAATTAATTAGAAGCAGTATGGGTTATAACTAGGTATAACCTAAATATAATATATTTATGTTTAATTATTTATTGGATATTTATTGAAATAAACATTCGATATTTTATTTAAAACTTGTCGATATGCTGCAGGCAACCGGAAAATTGTTGCCAGGGTGATCGCCAATATAAGTTCAGAACATATACTCGCTTTGGAGGTACATATACTAAACTAAGTTTAAAATATAATTAATCGCGTAGTAAAGAGAGCTACATTTTATTTTACGGTTAATTACTTCCTTCAGTGCGGAAAAATGCCTCCTTTATTATTAAACGTTCTGAGGTACAGAGGGAAAATATATAGATTATGATCATAACAATTGTTTTTCTTCAATTGTTCGGAGAATGGAGTATGTATATTTTTATTTTATTTTATTTTATTTCTCCCGTTTAGCAATATGAGAACAATCCATATTTAATGAGTGCATACCTAGCAGCTTTACCTCCCATATTCCACTGAAGATGTGGGAAAAGGAACCACCATTTTTCAGAAATATCTAAACCATTATATTACGATCAGTGGCGGTGACGGGAAGATTTGACGTCAAGGAGAATTATTCTGAGTTTTCTTGGTTAAACAAATATAAGATAACCCTATAAACAAATATCTAGACAAGGGATTTACGCCAAACTTCATGCACTGGTTTCAACGGAAGTTGTTTACAGATTTAAACTTATGCTAACTTATTACCCTATTGGCTGCTGATATAATAATGGTACTAAATAAAAAATGCTTCTCTAACTTGATGAAGACTTTGAATGTTAGCCATAAATTTCATTATACTGTTATGTATCCGTTTTGTTAAATTAGTTTATAATAAATTAGTTAATAATATAAGAATAGAATTTTTCAAACCTACCTAGAAATTGCTCTAATATCTCCCTTAACTCAACCATTTTCGTTTTTGTCTCGGTGGTATATTTGTATGATGGATTATAACAGTAAATTCAAACAGAAATTCCATAATATTTGGATGGAGACTATTAAAAGGAACTGTAACATAAGAACAGACTTGTTATTAGAAATAGCTATTGTCTGTTCCATGTTGGTAGTTTTAAGATTTACAAAAATTAAAGTAGAAGCGTTATGGTTCAGTCCTCTTCTCTAAATGAGTCGACAAAATATGAGATGAAGAACAAACTATGTTCCAATCTACTATGATTTCAAATATTAAAATAAAAGAATAAGAGATGAATATGGTGTAGATCGCCGAAAGCTTCTCTACAAATAAACTATTTTTTAAATAAATATAGAGACTGTCATTGGTATGCAAAGTATCTTCATCTACTAAAACATATAAAAAAGCCTAAAATTACCTGAAGAAAAATGGAATTATTATTCAATTGTAGAATTTTTGTTTTACCTTATATGTAGGTTATTTAAAATTCTTGATTTCTGCTTTTTGTGTTTGGTATCCACCGACTTTTGTCGCTAATCTCGATTGTTTTTTTAAATATTTGTTAAGAGGTGATCAGAGTTGGATTTTATTTGTTCTTACCTGAATCATAAATGTATTCGAAATTTTTTGCTGGATAATCTGTTTTTTCGTCATAATTTAGAGTAAATCGGGATTTTAAACCGTGGAGAACATACAAAAAATAATGAAATGCTTTTTGATTATGTTTAAAATTGGTTGTTGTTACTAAGTTGAAAGGTTTATTGTTTGACGAAATTTCTTACTGGATTTAGGCTAAAGGACGACGAATATCCAATCCTGGTTAGAACAGGGACCATGAAGTGACCATGGCTTTGGCACTAACGAGAGGTTTGGGAGACAGCGGTGGTTTGGAGTCGGTTTAACGAGAATCCAACCGTCACGATGGTCACAAGTCATGGAATAGATTTAATTGCGAACAGTCCGCAACTCTCCCCTAACCATTGGTCGCTCTCCGGCGAAAAAAATCCAACCCTTTAATCTCTCCCCTTCCGCATTGTACTGACCATTACAAGAGATCCACGAAGTTAGCATGTTCCCAGAACAGGCTTTATTTTGAGGTAAACCTCTAGTTGTATGCGACGTAAAACTAGGGATAAGATCTATTTGATACTGAGGATAGTTTTATACATTTACGATTTTTATTAAGACGACATATTGGAAAAGATATAGTACAAAGGACTGAATAAAAACAAATTATGTGTGTATGAACGTAGAACTTGAACGTTCCGTTAGAGAGAAATATTTTTATGAAACTCAATGAAAAAAGAATCCTTTAAGACAGTTTGATTGCAGAGATGCCTCTATAAAACAATAGCGTTATTGTAAATTGAAACAGCCCTGTTACCTCCTTTACTTAACGATGCTCAATAACGCATTTTTCCGTTAATATTTAAGAGAAGAAGAAATGTGAAATTAGCTCTAATAAGTATAAATATAAAAAATAGGCAGAAGTGTTATCCTAAAAACATAATTTTTGATGATGTTTCTGCGGCGATAAAGCTACAAACCTTAGTTAAATACTCTGTATTCAGACTATTTTGCTACATTATGGTGCTACGTATCAAAAGGGGTTTTGATAGATTTTTTTTATTACGGGATGCCACTTGATGATTATTGAAGATAATTATCCAGAATTAATTAATAAAAATATTAGTTAAACAAATTATGTCATTTGACATATTGGTCCTTGATTAATTTATTGGATTACTTCTCACAAAGGCTTGTTGTGTGTTTATCTGTTCTCTAATTACCAAACATTACCTGTGCTTATAATGAAAGAAATAGGTTGTATGATTAAAATAACTTTTATGTACAAATTATATTTATTTACAAGTGATATGAGAAAGAATTTGTATATACATTCTATTTACAAAATTTAATGAACTATACAATTTGTTGTGAAGGCATGATTCAGATGGATGGAATTCAAAATTACATTGCCATTAAATATTTGAACATCTCTACAGGAATTATTGGGAATTACTTATCTAATATATTATTTGAAGTGGTGTATGGCATGGCTGCATCTGCGAAGTCATGGGTCATGTTTCAGTCCTCCAGCTAGAAGAAAACATCAGGGACCTCCTCAGGGCCGGGCAGCTACATCAGGCCTCTCTTCTATCAGCCTCTCCTCATCCAGCTGTCCTCAGCTGAGTCCCATAAAGAAGTCTCCTCGTCCAAGTCCTATATTTTCCACCTTTTTTCATCCCCTCTCTTTTGGTAGTCTTATTACCATATTTTGGGTGGGGCCAGAATTGTGCCCATTGGTTCAATTTTTGTAGCAGAAGGGATGACCACACCCCCAGCGATATGTTGAACACACCCCTTTTAGCAGGTACACGACCGTTTCTTCCTATGCTTAAGAGTTAAAAGCTTTTTGATCCTCTTTAAACCTAAGACTGGTCCTTTGGTGTTTTTGGCCGACATGTGTCGTCAAGTACTTCTATTGCTAGTGGGTGTACTAAGAATATTCTCAAGAGTGCTAAAAGGTTACCTCAGGTGGTTATCAGGTATCCCGACCACTATCTAAGTAACCACTTACAAAAGATTGGGTCGGGGGTTTCAGGTACCCGCCCAGGTGTTAGAAATTATTTTTAAATATTATTAATTACCATTAGGCTGAGTTCAATACATAGCAATGGAAATAAGCGACAATGCACTATTTTAAGACCGTAGCTATGATGATGTATAATATCTGGGGATGATTATTATAAGTATTGTGATTATAAGTGGATATGATTATTTATAATTAAAATTAAAACGGTTAAAATTCTCCATTTAAGTGTTATAAATATTTTAATAAATAGTTATTGTAAAAACAACAAATTCTATTTTTTTTTTTCATTTTTATTATATGTTCTGAAAGTAATTTAAAATGCTTATATTTCTTTGCAGATTACTAAAGATGAAAAAAAAAAATATTTAGGTCTATGTTAGCAGTAATTATTTTCCTGCATGTGACAAGGAAGATATTGTTACATATGATATATAATATATTGTCATATATAATATATAATATATATTGTCTGAGGCTATACTTGAATGGTAAAAAGTAAGTTAAAATTTAGTTTGCAGGTTCTTGAAAATGGCTACTGAAGCCGAAACGTTGAATAAACATACATGTAATATATAAAAAAACTGTTTTTTTTTGTGACCTATGGTCTATAATAGACATATGTTAGATATATAACTGTTTGGAAATAATAAACCACTGTGCAATAATTTGTAGCGTTTATTGTTTATTTAATTAATAGATAAAAATAATTGAATAAAGTATTTATGAGTATTAAATTATAAATATTTGATAGTTTAATGCAAATATTTACGGAATAAATTAATTTATCATGGTTTTAATATTGTTTTTTTTAATTAAGATTAAAAATTTTTAATGTACATTATGTTTATACTATTTATTATGTTCTCTTTCAATATTAATGGAAACGTCCGCCTTTTCTTTTTTCTTTTTATTCATATATGCGGCTGAAGATATGTTGACCTATTGTGACTCCAGGTACATACTTCTTCCAACAGGATAGCCAATCCTTGGCCCCTGATTTATGATCCCTGACGTATATTGTCCTGCATGATATATTGTATATTATAGACTATCGGGGCTGGAGGTTATCCGTCCTCCTGGGAATCCCTTGATTTATTGGAGTTGGGCCTTTCTGTCAGAAACCTGCCTTGAGTTCATTCCGATTTTATACAACAGCCTAATAACCGTAGGTACTCCTTTCTTCAAGTAATACTTGTTATATATAAATTGTGTATTTCATGTTTTCTAAAATCGGGTTTAAATTTTTTAGTGAACAATTGTTAATAGGTTGTTGGATTAGTAAAATTATATACCAGATACTCCTTCTTCCGATTCTATTATTGTTATATCCCATAAAGTGATCACTTGTTAACTTGTTCATGAAAATAGTATATAAAAAAAAATTGGAATTTTTAAGTATTCCTGTAGTTTTTAATTCTTTCTCATTTCCGAAGATACTAAAGCTTTGTTCTCTTGTCATATCCCATAAAGTGATCACTTGTGAACTTGTTCATGAAAATAGAATATAAAAAAAAAATTGAATTTTTAAGTATCCCTATAGTTTTTAATTCCTTCTCATTTCCTAAGATACGAAAGCTTTGTTCTCTTGTGGGAGGCTTAAAAAAAATGTGTGCTCAAAATCGAAAATTTCCACTTGCCTTTTACGTTTTAGTCATCAAGAACAAAGTTTGTTTAAATGCTCTCTCTGTAGTGCAATCCATATTATGGAAATATCACCTAAATCCGATAGCGATTTAATTTTCAGGAATCGTTCAAGTTTATACTTTGGTGGTTACATATCAATTTCATGAAATTTCTTCTTCTATTTCTCTTCTTCCAGAAATTTACTGATATAGTCGCAGCAGGTTAGACTATAACTTGTAAAATTAATTTTCCGCAGTTTCAATATCTCTTTATAATAAGAAATGCGTTTATCCGGAAAGTCAGAAAATGGTCTTCTTTGTAAATCTTTAAGTTGATCTCTTAAATTTCAATATATCTTCCTCTGTCACATTTATTTTTCATATTCATGAATATTTTGCAAATGGAAGAGTATTTCTCTATAATTTTAAGAGATTTAACCTTTAAAAACGCGGGTTTGTGATCTCATCTTGTAAAGATGTGGTAAGCCAATCACGGCTTAGAATCACTCTTCTTTCTTCTAATCTATTGTTGCAAGGTTTGTTGTGTGGTTTCAACAATCAAGATTTAGTCAGTTTAAAAATTGCAACAGCTCACATGGTAAGTCGACTAGAACTCACTTTTAGGTTGAGTTTTTGCGTATTTAGAAACCATATTCTGCTGTTAGTCTCTATGTTAAGTATTACAAATTGTAACCGACGCTGTTAGTTAACAAAACGCATCTATCTACGCATCAAAATTTCAACTCCTAGTTTTAGATCAGATGCCGGATTTCGCAGGACTAGACAAAGGATCTAGCAGTGGGATGCTGTCCTTGATTACAAAACCTCTTGGCAGACAATGCGCAATCAGTTGGCGCATTGTTTTGGCGAAGAACACATGACTTGTCCTTCCGCAACTCGGGTCGTTTCTTCTTATTCTTTCTTAGAGTTCAACAAGAATGGCAAAGTTGTAATGTTTAATAATAATTTGACGCTCATAAATCCAATGAAAATGCAACATCCCATGAAAAACAATATGATCATTACTTTATATACCTCTTATTATCTAATTTGTAGCATTAAAAAAAGAATTTATATTTTATTATATAATATTTATTTGTATTTAAAATACAATAATGCACTGTATTTGTAGTGGCATTGTAATTAAATAATGCTTTTATTTGTTAACAACACTTCATCAATACCAAAAATAGAGGAAATATATTTATTATAATTGCTAGAATTTATTTAACTTTCAAATCAGAAAACACCTCTGAAAAAAATATTCATCTTCATTCAAAAAAGTTCCAAAACGAAAAAAAGAATTCTTATTTCCGCAAAAAATTACAAAAGCCTGAATCTAACAATTTTTTTTTTTTAACCCGCATATATTATATCGGCAGCCGCACTGCGAAAGCCAGTTAGAACAAAAACTAAAACTTTTTAAGAGACGAATAAACTGCGTAATTTTTGTTTTATTATAAAAATTGATAAAACATTTGACTGAAAAGCGAGTATTTGATCACACCGGTTATTCACTTTTTTATCTCTCACTGTAGGGCTGCTCGAACGCAGTGCATGCGGCCCATTTTGGAGTATTCTATGAAAGATTCGTTTTTGACGCACTCAATTTCATATGGATATGGTTTGATTCACGAATGCTCGGCAAGTTAAAGGTAACCTGCTGATGTGTAGATTACATCGTTTCTCAGCTTCTTACGATTTCGAAGATTCTATGGTTTGAAAAGATGACACTTGAGTTCTTTCTTTATCTCGTGTTAAATTTTCCATTTTATGAAATCAATTCTCTGTCTCTCACTTTCTGGAATTCGGCGGCATTGTAGTTTTTCCCCAGTCCAGCTCATTTCGCAGTTGTCAGAAGGTTTCGATTGTTTTGAAGGCTGTTCAATATTATATCCTCATTTGCTCTTCTTTGCTTCGTCTAGATCAGGGTAGGGGAACTCGGCCATTTGCCCATAGGCGCCGGACTGGAAGTGCCCGCCACTTATTAGAAATTAAAAAAAATAATACAAAGCGTATGAGAAAAATTAAATTTTCTTTTAATTAATTAATTGATAAAACTAATTGATACTGTAGTCTATGCGCTAAACGCTTTATTCTATATTTAATTGACTACCTTTCATTGAGCATTTCATTACGATTTTTAGGTAATGAAGGTAGTTACACAATCTACATAACCTTTTTTGTAACCTATAGTTTTTTACATCACAATTTGCTAGTTTTATAGTTTTAAACAGGTAAAAACCTGTTAACCTATCGTTTAACAGAGAGTTAAAAACCTTAAAAAGAAAAGGCTATCGTTAAGAAATGGAACATCGTAGATTTCATTTTGTGGGATCAGAATATGTGGTCAAGATTGACCAGAAAAGCTCAAGACCTCATTTTCCAAAGAAATTGTCCTTACTGGTTTTAGCAATGTGGCAGTCGATATGCAACTACTCTAAAATAACCGTTTAACAAATTTTCTTGAAGTTTTTATTTAGTTATAGTTTTAGAATTTATTGACTCCTTTTCCAACAGATAGTTTTGCAATATTTGAATTTTCGAAGTGGGATGAGCCTCATTAAGGACTTATTATTAAATTCCAGTTTTTGGCATAGGCTAACAGAGGTGGTTGTTTAAATAACAAAGGGTCATCTTTCTGGCGGACGTTGCCGGGAGACAGGTTTGGTTTGTCTAATTTATTAGGAGGTGTGGCGGAAGACCGCAAGGCCGCACCTGGACCACCGCAACGCCAAGCTTACACACTGGCACCCGGTGCCTGTCCGCCATGTTAGTTATTGTTAACCTCTCATGGATTATGTTCCTCTTTCTGTTCATTATCAGCAGCTGGTCCACTTTTTCCTCTTATTCGAAAAAATCTAATGACCCGGATACTACATCGGTGACTCAGAGGTCTGGATTTTGTAACTTGTTGAAAAATCGTTGACCATTACAATGTTGCTGAATGCTGACCATAACACTAGCTTTGCAAAGTTATTGAAAACACAAATGGCTTAACACTACATTATATTTTATTTTCTTCTTACCTTGTCTCTCGCCAATACAGATTTTTGGTAGATATAGTTGATACTTAATCTTCTGGTTCTTCAGTTTTCATTAGCGGAGGTAAATGTGATCATCCCCGACTACTTACTTCCACTTCGTAGAGAAATCGTCCTCCGTGATGATGATTATTAACGTCATTCTACATTTTAAGACTACGTTCTACTAACGTATTAAAAAAAATGCTGCACATTATCACATATGCTTAGATGTAAAATTCCCTATCAATCTGCCAAGATGTTTACGTAGATATGGAAGTAAATTCTCTTAGGGTAGATAGAATTTCTGTAGTCGGGTATTTTTTTTCAAATATTTTTTTATTGCATATTAGAATTAGAAAATTCTGTACTTCAGATATTACTCTGGTAGGAGTTATCAGTTAAACGCCATGAAAAAATTAATAGCATCATTCGGACTAAATTTATTGCAATGATTTGAATCTGGGCTATATTTTCTGCCTACTTATCTTAGCGCTGCCTCTTATATTTATACTCCCGTAAATTTTCTTCTAAACGAGGTTTTATTGCCATGTTGCACAGATTTACTCATCCGTTTTATAACGGAACGGATTTGACCTGTTCTTTTAATTCTATAAGAGCACAACAGAAAATGATATTGTCGTATTTCAGTTTTATTGGTTAACATTCAGTCCGTATCTACCTAATATATACTTAATGTGTCTATGTATACATTTAATTCCATTATATAAAAAAAATATTTAAAAAAAAATACTTCAACTCCAAACGATCCATTCAAAATCACCTTCTAAATTTACAAAAAGTGTTACTTATTTTGGAAAATTAAATTGACAAATCACAACATATAACATTGTGCCCACGAGTTTATGTTGGCGATAATCAGATTTCTCAGAGGACACAATACGTTTCATTAGATTAATATTCGACAGAAGGAGCCCACAGGACGTGTGGAGCCCACGCGTCAAAATAGAAAGAAAGACTTTAAACAAGCTACTGAAAATACTATACTCTCTTTTTTCTAAGACTACTAAAAAGTAACTCAGCAAAAAAAGATAAGTTTACTATCCAAAAATTTAAAGGTTATAACAGTAGCTTTCTGGTACACAAAGAATAAAAGGTTACATATCGACTTACGACAACCGACTATTTATGAAATGAAATGAAATGAAAATATTTTTTTATTATCCTGGGACTGTTGTCCCTTTAGGACAAATTACAGATACAGAATAAATGCCTGTGTGGCCATACATAAAATTAATTATTTATATTTATTATTAAGATTAAGATTTTGAAAAAATAATAAAACAAAAAATATAACTATTACACTAAAAACATTTTGATATGTATAATACAAACTATATAATAAAATAAAATAGCATAATTAAAGAAAATAATTTCTGGGAGAACTTTAAAAGTTCTCTTACCTACATTTCATGATCAATCGGGTTGGGAAAGGAGTAGGTGGTTAAAAAGGAGAGATTTAAATGAGGAAACTGATTGCACATGTCGGATATCGGGAGGGATGGTATTCCAGAAGGAGACGGCTTGAATTATAAAGGATTTGTCAAACGCTGCAGTTCGGTGGGGATGTGGATAGAGGTCGGAGGTACGAGATCTAGTGAGACGGGATTGTATGGAATATTTGAATTGTAGGTTGTGAAAAATATAGGAAGGCCGCTGAGTTCTGTTGACTTGGTATAGAAAAGTGGCAAGGAAGTACAAACGGCGGTTGGATGGATAGAGCCACTTCAACTTGGTGTAATACTGGGTTATATACGTATTTCTTGAGATTCCGAAAACAAAACGTATTGCGCAGTTCATTAGGCGTTTAAGTCTGGTCTCGAATTCTCCCAAGTGTCCGCCGTACACCAGACAGCCATAGTCAAAGTGGGGGAACACAAGGGAGGAAACCAGGAGTTGACGGGATTTATATGGAAGGAGATAGCGGAGACGGTTAAACTGTTTCAGGGTAGAGACAGTACGACGGGCAATTTGGGAGATGTGTGGTTTCCAGGAGAGAGTTTGATCGAATGTAACACCAAGGTTTTTTACGGAAGTATGGAATGAGATAGGTGAGTTGTTCAGGAAAATATTGGGTATCTGTATGGATTTGAGGAGTTAGCGAGATCCGATCAGAATGGCTTTCTTCTTATTGGCGCTTATGGGAGATAAAGAGGAGCCTTGTGGGACACCCCTGGACAAAGGTAAAGGTTTATCAACATTTAACATTATTATTATTTTATTGATTATTAATAGAGTCTGCCTCACTGAAGGGCACTGGTACTAGGGCTATATATCAACAAATACATACTTTTTACCGGTTTCATATATAGAATAATAGGCGTATAAAGCGTTCTCGCTAAATCTCCGCTTGTTTTGATAGCAGTGATATGGTCGAGAGAGGAGTGTAAGGATCTCCTGGGGTTCTACTTTTCATTCCATAAGTAGAGAGACAATCAGGAGTTCTGATTTTCCTAGCCCAATTGTAAATAGTGTATGTAGGACTCTCTGTTATTTTAATTTAATTATCTTTATTTATTGTACATACTGACAAAATCAAGATCATTGTGGCTCCATGCATACATTCATACAATTATAATATTTTATGAAGAGAAGAATAGTTGGGGTGATCAGTAAAATAAGAAGGCAAAAATAAATGATAATATTTATTTTTGCCTTCTTATTTGACTAATCACCCCAACTATTCTTCTCTTCATAATTCACGACAGTCAACCATTTACCCACAATTATAATATTTTATTTATTCTGGGGCGGTTTCCTTTAGAATAATAAACAAGGACAGAAATCTTGGCTTTTGTGCGTTAGAGATATATTAATGTAATTGGAAATTAAACAAATAGAGATAATAGAAAAAGAAATGTTTAATGTACAATGTATATATAATTAAAAAGAAATCAATAAATAAATTATGATAATAATAACAAGAAAAAAATACACTAAACCAACAAAAAATAAAATAAAAATAATGCATCATAAATAAAAAACAATAAGAAAAAATACGAAGTATACAAAAAAAATAAATAAAAATAATGCATCATTAATAAAAAACAATAAGAAAAAATACGAAGTATACAAAAAAAAAAAAAATTCTCACATTCGTACCTATTTACTATATTACATTTATCCCTGAACAGGAATGACCTTTTCTCAGTGCTACTTGTCTTTAGAACCGGAACTCCGAGGATACAAATTATCTATTCAGTCGACGGTGTTTGCGAAGAGGCCAAATCGACTTGGTGCATTTACAGGGTTTCATTTCCCCTCGAGGCGGCAGTAACAAGCTAAACACTCGAGCCGGCAAGAACAGAACCTCGGGGTGGAGTATTTGCTGAACCGGCACCGCTGTAATCCCGGCTAGACTGAGGAGGATAAATCGGCAGAGGCCAAGGTTCAAAGATATCTGCCTCTATTCGATATTGAGTTTGCAACGTGATGGAAATATCCCCCCTCTCTCCCTTCATTTATTTCGCTACCCTATACCCATCGCTACCCTATACCCATCCGCCATGAATAAGTTAGCCTCTTTTCGCTCGTCCGCTTTCTTAGATCCACCTTTTTTTCTTTCTTTTTCAGCATTTATTTTATACCCTCGCGGCATTTAATATCTGTCTAAGGCGATATATGATCCGCTGTTTATCCGCTCGGTTAAGTTATTCTGGACATGAATATACTTAAGCGATTTCCTGCTTGGCGTGCGAAAAGATTTTTCCAAACAAATCTTGTAGCATTAACCTAATGATTCTTTATCGAATTTTTTTTTTATTGTAATAACAAAGCAAATAATGGCCGAAAATTATCAAAATATAAGTACATAACAGAGATATATTGTTCAATAAAATATTTAAGATTACGAATAATAATTATGGTTTGTATTATAGTCTGCGTTACAGACAACCTTTCTAATAATTTATTGACACTCGTCTGAAACTTCGTGATACCTTAATTTTATCGTAACCTATAACATTTTTATGAACGAAAATTCTGGGAAATACAGCTTTTCAATCTATAATATAGGTTGGTAATCTCATCAAATGAGATACTAAAAACTCATGGACACCTATTTGCTTCGCACTTGAATGGTAAAACAAATTGATAAAAAAAAAATCAAGAGAAAAACGTGGTCTATAAAAATATTGGTCTGTTCACTGCGTGATCTTCACCTCCAACAAATCAAAATAACGACAAAAATAAGGCAAACGACGCAATATGTTTGTAGTTCTCCTTTTTTCTCGATTTCGTGATTAAAGTTTTTACGATTCATATGGGAAAGGAAGTAGCTATTAATGAGTTGTTAGAATCTCGTTAAATGAATTCGTTTAATTAGAAAATGTCTCATTTCTGACAATTTTTGTAGGTTAAAAAGTTGTAGGTTTCTATAAAATAAAGCTATTGACGAACTTCTATCCATTATTACAGTATTCTAAATCAATATAGAGGAATAGTTATAATTATAAAAGTGTTCTTTTAAGCCACATTTATACGAAATATAAAAAAATGAAAGTAAATGTATCACTAAATAATAATATTGAAATAATATGTTTATGATCAAATAAACTTTAAAATAATTAAACTAAAATATCATCTTAAATTTCAGCCTGATACGAAAAATGATTAAGAGTGTTCGGTCACTAAAAATAAAGCATGTTGGAGTCCAATTAAGAGAAGACTGTTTTTACTTTCCTACCTATACTACGTAAGGAAAAAGTATTGCAATCGGGTCAAATTTTCGATATGTGGTTTTCGACGGATCTATACGTTTCAGAGCCCCCAGTTTCAGAGTGAAAAACACATTTTAGCCATTGGTTGACCACTATTAACGAAGTTACAGCTATTAAATTTCCAACGTATGTTTACGGGTACATATCCTGGTGTCTAAAAGGGATGAGTGAGAAAAAAAAGAATCAAAAATCTGTTGCCCGCATCACACAAGCTTTACTATTTCCTCTACTTTTAACAGAAATTATTGTTTGATTAGACTATGGAAAACAATTTTTGATCAGTAATATTAGAGGGCATTAAAAGTTTTACACTGATCTACCTTAAGCCGGTTTACATTGCTTTATTTTATCAAATAAATCGTACTCAAATCTTTTCTTTGATCAATTTTGAGGAAAATAAATCTAATTAAATTTCTTTGTTTTTTTATGGACATATGTTAAGATATAAGAACTTATCTGAAAAAGGTAGGTAAGTCGTGAGAGTGGACACCCTAGATTTTTTTTCTTATTCGTATTTGTTGCCTTGTCCAAACTACTTTGTAGAAGAAACATTTTATTGATACCACATATTGATACTACTTGGAGAAAGAATTAAATGTATCATTTATACTGGATTACTGTAAGTTTTCATTTTTATTTTTCTCCTAAAATCTTATTCTGCACCTGTCACGAATTTGAAAATAAACATATGTGTTTTAGTGAATTTAGAAAATGACATTTTCTGGCATGATGAAAATAATAATTAGAATAAATATAAAAAGAGAGCTGTCAAGTTAGATGGATTTCAGAACGTTTTATCTTTCTGGAAATTTCCAATTAGGTTTAGTGGTTATATGTATTGATTGGCGGGACATGATTTACCAGAGGATGGTTTAGGGGAGGGGTGATAAATTTTCCTAAACACCGCCCTCTCGTTTTTTTTATCCAACGGCAGGGATGTTGATAACCGTTACTGGCTTATGATTTTATCTTAATTTTTAATTTATTAATAAAATATTTACATTTATAATTTAATAAACAAAGTTATTATTTATGCATTAATTTCAACAAATATATGATGCTTGTATTTAAGTACTACTCATAAATCTTTTCACATGATCTTTTATCATATTTTTGTCATGATATTTTTGAAAATAGCCTCTGTCGCCTTGGAATTCTTATTATAATGTCGTTAAAGTTTTATGGATGTGACCCGCTGTACCATAAACTTGAATGGATATCGATTAACGTATTGTAATTAACTTTAAACCGCTACAAATACAATATTACAATATATTGCTGTTAAAATAAAAAATAGAAAATCAAGAGGTTTGCATATGCATAAATAAATATCACTCTGTCTAGTTCTTGTAATTAACATTAAACTACCATGAATTTAATCATAAGTTTGCCATGGCAAGCTAAGCGCTGACCTGCTATTTTGAAGAAAATTATGATTTCATTAGGAATCATGTGAAGAGATTTATCTAAATACAGTCGTTCACATATTTGTAGAATTAATGTGAAGAAGTCTTAGGTTTATGAATTAAAATATCTATGTAAATATTTCATTAATCAATTATAAATTAAAATAAAATCATTCAATAGTAATAATAAAAGGCTTAGCGAACCCGAAGGTTAGATGCCGACACCACCAATCGCTTATTACACACCTCCCTCCACCGTTCGCCGTCCAAACCTAGTCCCTTCAGATGGGCTTTAATACAATCTTCCCACCTTCGCTTCAGTCTATCCCTCGGACGTTTACCTTTCTGTACAGCAAGTATTAACCTTTTAGGAATTCTCTCGTTACCAAGCTCAACAACTTTACAAGCCCATTTGATTCGCCGCGATGAAATTACCTCAGTTATATTATCCGGATACAGTTCACGCTATTGGGCGTTGTGTAACCGTCTGAACTCTCCGGTTAACTCATCCTTCTTCGGTCCGAATATTCTACGCAATACTTTATTTTCAAAAACCTTAAGACGCTGCTCATCCCTTAATGTAAGCGACCAAGTTTAATTCAATAGTAATGATTATCAATATAGCCATGGATTATTAATATGCTAGAGGCTGCTCAGAATCAGTGGGCGCTCGAGGGACTATATTTTTTTTCTCTGAAACAGACTGTCCATGAACCAAACAACTGCATCTCCAGATGTATCATCACAATACGATTAAGGTAGATAAGATAGGGTTATTACTCCTATGCCCAGTTGGTATGAGTTGCTTCTACTAGACTGACGGGTCTCATACCAGGATGAAGGAAGAATCTCGGACAGCTTGGCTTTCACTGTCACATCTTCCAAGTACTTATCACGCTGGACGTTGACTTAACAAATCTTATATCTTCCTCTTGCTGTATTGGGTGATTGCTTTCCAGTTTGCTTCTTGCATATATGTACATATATAAACAATTATTAATGAAATACAAATTTTTATTTATTTGTCGTATAACATACCAAATTTTCTTTCCTTTTATATATTAGAATTTTCATTTTTTTTTTTACTGTCTTCAACTGTTCCATTATACAATGAGAGTTATTATTTTGAAAGATAAAAGCTCAGTGAGCCTTTGAGCCGGTGATTGTGAGCGGAGAGCGGAGAGCGGAGAGGTGAATCCACTCGTGCTTATTGTTGGGTCCTCGCTGGCGGGACAATGCTAAATCACAGGCCCCTCCTCGGAGAGATTTATCGCTCCCTCCGCTCTTCCTATCCTCGCCCTCTGTAAAAACATGAGTAATCCGAATAAATTATTCCTTTTGTTATTAATTAATATCCATACCTTGCTCCTCGTTTTTAAAAAAATATAAATCAGTTGATATTTCATCTTGTAAGATTGGTTGGATTTCTGTTTTTAATTTGGTCTGTATAGTTGTTTTTATTCAAGACTTGTATGATTATCGCTTTGTCTTAAACTAACCTATTTGCAATCGAAATCTCCCTTTGACCTTACTTAAGGGGCTCTACAAAAGGATTATTTTTCTACTCTTGGGAAATAAAAATTCACTTAAGGTAAAATCTAATTATAAGTGTTTTAGAGTTATATAGTAATTAAAAGTTGATTTATATAGTATCCTGGTATAGGTGTTAATGATATATTAGTAATAATTTGATTGATGAATTGTTTACAGAGTGTGGCGGAGTCCATTATTTTGGACTCATTAGGAATCCTACACTATCATCTATATCAAATCAGTTCATTGCTTTATGGATTCGGGTGACAGAATTGAGAGAAAAGAAAGAACCAACAAATGATATTTTTATTTAGGGCGGGGTAGCGCGAATGGGCTAACGCCTTTGCACAGCACCGCGAGTTGCCCGGTAACCAGATAACCGAAATTATAAGAGATAAAAAAAAAAAATCGAGTTCGCGTCCAGATGCTGGATGGGATTTTAAATACCTCGCCCGCACCCTCTGGTCTGGGGAACCCCGTATAGCCTCAAACGCTAGGTAAGGAAGAACAAAAAAAAAAAAAAAGTTAAAAAATGATATTTTTATATTCGAATTGTATCACTCGGATTTTTAGATATTGTTTGGAGATAGATTAGTATGATGTGTTAGCATCATACGTGC